TGAGATGATGCGAGTGATTAAGGTATGGACCTTGAATTCCCTTTTTTATTTTATCTAAATCGAGAAGGGGAATGTATGTGTATGACTGAAGTTCAGTGGACATGGTGAACTTGCACATGGATAGAGTTTGAAACCTAATCTAGACATGGATAGGTATTTGTGAGTGCGAGTCATCTAGCAAATGTACTTGTTGTGACCATTGTGAGATTTGTGTGTGTGCGTGCACTATCTATGCAATATGGAGATCTATTTCATCTCTCCTCGATGATAACATAAACGGTATCGCGCGATAAAAATTTTAGAAATGACATTTTGAGTGTATATGTGATCTTTCGTTTGTCTGTGGTTTTGTGATCATGTTTTGATGCTATGATTGATATTCGAGAGTATATATATGTTCTTTCGAGAGTATGTGGATATACATTTGAGATTTGTATATGATATTCGAGAGAATTCAAAAATTCGATCAGAAAAAGATGAAATAGTGAAAATAATAAATGAATTTTATATTGAAACATTACTATTGTATTTATTTCATATTGTGTATTTTGTATTAAATCTTATCTGCGTTGAGAGAACAAAAATACTTATTGAGTTGGTAAAACTCATTAAAGTTTACTCTGATATTTTTCAGAGGAGAAAGAAGAGGTAGAACTGCTGACAGACGAGTAGAACCTGTAAAAACAGTTCATATTTTGTGCATATTCAAGAAATTTTCGTTTTATTTTGTTAAACTTTAAATTTTGACTTCATGTTTTGTATGTATAATTACTATATATATAACATGAGATGTTATATTGTATAATAAATTTTGACATGTATATATGTATATTCTGTGGGTCTATTGTATAAAAATGATATTAGCAAGAATTACGTCTCATATCAAGTGCGGGAATGTTACAATTAACATGGTGAGAATCAATTTCAATAATTAATTTCTTCTTATATGTTTTCTAAGTAAGCTTAAAACAATAGAAGGCACCATAAAACTTAGCGGTTAGAACCTAGGAGTACCCAAATTCCTCAGGAAACCCTTTGGACCAATTACCATGACTTTCCCTGATAAAAACAACAAACAGAAGCAGCCCATAATTATCATTGCCAGAAATAAAACAAGATTTTGATAGATTGAATAAATTATGAGTATGTTGGGTTGTATGGTATTTATTGTTTTATTAGGCCGTAAAGTAAGATTCTAATAATGCTCAAATTTTCCTTCTTTACCCACTTAATGCATTGAAAACAAAGTCGATCATCTCATATATATATATATATACACATATATATATGTACGTATATATGACTAATTATTAGATGATATCAGTCTTAATAACTCTCTTGAATTGAAACCATATTAATATAATATTATTAAGACGGCTGAGCGTGGCATCATCCTCGGTTAATGAAACTAGTTTATATATATTTATCAAAGTGGCACGTAAATATGAGTGTTAATATATATATATATATATACATGTGTAAAAACGTCATGAATACATACATACATACACACATAGTAGGGTACGAGAGTTTTGTGCATGTCCTGTCATCTTGGGTTCTTCCACCAACTTTTCTTTCTTTTCATCAATTTTATCTCCTGCTCTCCATAGATTCCTCCACTCCCCCCTGCTCCCTAAATTTCTTAACCTCTTTTTCTTTTTCATCATTTGTTTTCTGAATAAATTTTAAATTAGTTCCTAAATTTAATATTTGTTATAATTTATTTTTTTTATTATAATATAATTCATGGTGGTTTTTATTTGAAATAAATGTTTAATCTCTGACTGGAATATATCGTCCCTAATTAACATTCATTTGTTATCTAGTAATGTTCAAGTTGTCCATACATGAACAGTGTATCATGGATCTTGACCAAACTTCCTCATAAAAACAAAAAAAAAAAAAAAAAAAAAAACAAAAATCAGAGTTTGATCGAGACATTACCTTTATTATTTTTCTAATTAATAAAATAACAAAAGTCTTAAAAAGGTGAGATATTTTCTTGGGTTCTAATTGAGTTTAATTCTAAAAATTTCATTATTGTATTGTAAGACCAACATTGCCACTTCAATGCAAGCTTTTGTATGAGGTTTACAAGTAATACATTATTAATAACTATTTTTCAATTTAAATTTAGAATGAGTAAGATGACTTTGTAAGAATACTGAAATGGTGTTGATATATAATAATATTGAAGTGGCATATTTAATCGATGAATATGAGCTAACATGCACTCTGAATATGTATGCGTGTGCATATATGGACTTTACGAGCAGCAAGCTGGTCACGTAATCATTTCTTCCTTCAACAGTGAGTCGAGTCGGCAAAAGAGAGAGAAATTCCACTGAGTGTAATATTCTACCACGTAATCATGAGCTTGTAGACTCTGCAACAGTCACCCAGAAAAAAAAACTCCACAGCAAAAAAGAAAAACTCAAGAGTTGAAAGCATTCCAAATTGGCAGGCCCAGCAGCAATGGCGGAGATTGTGATCTCTGAATTTCCACGTCTCGTCTCTATCAATTCAATCCGATCAAAAGCACTATCATGTCTACATGTGACACAAATCAGACCACCACCACCACCACCACCCCCCTTAACCCTGCGTTTCTTCCACAACAAAGCTCAGAAACAAGATAGGGAAGATGAAGACGAAGCATGCATACCTCGCTGTAAAGTGATTCATCGCGTTGACTCCAAGAAAAAGAGGAGGAAGAAAAATTAAACACAACTCATTCACTGTCAATGGTTTAAGATCGTGACACTCACGGTCTCTCTTCTCTCCACTTTCTTTTCTTCTTCCCTTTTTCTCTGTCTCTTCTTTGTTATCTACCTCTCATTCTTCCTGTGAAGATACGTGCGTTCATCTTCGTCGCTCTCTTTTTCTGTCTGTACCTTATCTACCCGTTCTTGCTTTTCATTAATGGCTGCTTGGGCTTTATTTATGTTCCCTATTCTCTTCGGTTCAAAATCTCATTTGTGTGTCAATTGTTTTTAATTAATATCACCGTTGAGCCCACTCTTTCCCATAATCTTTCTGGTTTCTGGTTGTTTTTTTACGGGGAAATCTCTAGATTTTTCTTTACCCTTTCTCGCTCTCGTTATTATTATTTAATCTTTTAATCGAAGTAGAAAGCTTTTAGTTCCCAGAAAGACAATGTAAAGTGAAGACCATCTGTTTGTGTATTTGCTTCACATGTCCTGCAACAAGGGACTGTTTTTTTTTTTTTTTTTGATGATTGTCTTTTCTGGTCATATTCTTCTATTATTTTTAGCACCCATTTGGCCTACTTGAGACTCTCTATATATATATGGCATTCAATTTTCGAGGTACGTTGCCATCCCATTCTTCTGTATATTGAAATTTCCATTGACAGAAAGGAAGAGAGTTTTAGATTTTTCTATATTTCCTGCTGTGGTATCTCGTGAATACTTCATCTCTTTCCCATACATTTTCTTTGGTTACTGTTACTAGCCTTGTTCTTTCTTGATAGAGAAGGGAACCTAGAAATGGCAAGTGATTACCTCCTAAAGGCATTTGGGTTTTTAGTGATAGTGCTTTTTTACTTCCATGCTTCCTTTGTTAGATCGTTAAAAGAAGAGGGCCTCATACTTTTGGAATTCAAAACCTTCCTTAATGATTCTGATAGTAATCTTGAGAGCTGGAATCCACTTGATTTGACTCCATGTAGTTGGACTGGCATTGGTTGTAGTGATGATCTTGAGGTAACTTCTGTAAATCTCAATGGACTTAACTTGTCTGGTAGTTTATCTCCCAGCATTTGTAAACTTACCAAATTAGTTGAGTTGAATGTGTCTACAAATTTCATCTCCGGTCCCATTCCTCAAAATTTATCTGTGTGTCACAGTCTAGAGATTCTTGATCTCTGTACCAATAGGTTTCATGGGGAATTACCATCCCAGCTGTGCATGATTAGTACTCTGAAAAAGCTCTACTTATGTGAGAACTACATTTTTGGCGAGATTCCTGAGGAGATTGGGAGTTTAACTTCCCTCCAAGAGCTTGTAATTTACAGTAATAATCTGACAGATAGAATTCCCGCATCAATCGGTAAATTGAAACAACTTCAGGTTGTCAGGGCTGGTCGGAATTCTTTCTCCGGTCCAATCCCACCTGAAATCAGCGAGTGTGAGAGTTTACAGGTTTTGGGTTTGGCGGAGAACATTCTTGAGGGTTCTCTCCCTAGAGAGCTTCAGAAACTTCAGAATCTTACTGATATGATCCTCTGGAAAAACCGTTTGTCTGGTGAGATTCCTCCAGAGATTGGGAATATCAGTAGCCTGGAATTGCTTGCCTTGCATGAAAATTCTTTGACTGGAAATCTTCCCAAAGAGCTTGGGAAGTTATTCAAGATAAAAAGGTTGTACATATATACCAACCAATTGAATGGAACAATTCCACGGGAACTAGGAAATTGCAGCAAGGCTCTCGAGATAGATTTTTCTGAAAATGAGTTCACTGGATTCATTCCTAGCGAGCTGGGACAGATTCCTAATCTCCGTTTGCTTCACCTTTTTGAAAACCGTCTCCAGGGGCCTATTCCTTGGGAGCTTGGACAATTGACACAACTTCAAAACTTAGACTTGTCCATAAACAATTTGAGCGGAACAATTCCAAAAGAGTTCCAGAAGCTGACTTTCCTAGTAAATTTGCAACTTTTTGACAATCATCTTGAGGGTACAATTCCTCCCCTTCTTGGTTTTAACAGCAATCTAACCATCCTTGACATGGCTACTAATAACCTTGTTGGTAGAATACCAGCACACCTCTGCAGATATCATAAACTGATGTTTTTGAGCCTGGGATCAAATAGACTGTCTGGTAATATTCCATATGGTTTGAAAATATGCAAGTCTCTCGTACAGCTGATGCTAGGAGGTAATCAGCTGACAGGGAGCCTCCCCGTGGAACTATATAAGCTTCACAATCTTTCTTCTCTTGAACTTTATCAGAATCGATTCTCAGGACCAATTCCGCCAGAGCTAGGAAAGCTTGAGAATTTAGAGAGGTTACTTTTGGCAGATAACTACTTTGTTGGATATATTCCCCTGGAGATTGGGAATCTCTCTCAGCTTGCGGTATTTAACATTTCTTCCAACCAGCTCTTGGGAAGTATTCCTCAACAGTTGGGAAACTGCATTAAACTCCAGAGGCTTGATCTTAGTAGGAACCAGTTTACAGGACCTGTTCCCAAAGAACTTGGTAGGCTGGTGAATCTGGAACTCTTGAAGCTCTCTGATAACAGATTGACTGGAGCAATCCCCAGTACACTGGGGGGACTGGCTCGGCTCACAGATTTACAAATGGGAGGGAATTTCTTATCTGGAAGCATCCCTGTTGAGCTGGGTCAACTAAAGGCCCTCCAGATTGCCCTCAACATCAGCAATAATAATCTGTCAGGCAACATTCCTGATGATCTGGGGAACCTGCAGATGCTGGAGTCACTCTACTTGAATGACAATCAACTTTGTGGTGAGATTCCAACATCAATTGGAGCACTCAAGAGCCTCTGGGTCTGCAATCTTTCTAACAATAACCTGGTAGGAACAGTGCCAGAAACCCCTGTGTTTCAGAGGATGGATTCCTCAAATTTTGCTGGAAATAATGGCTTATGTTGGATGGATTCAAACCATTGCCACCCAGTGGTCACACCATCTCTTGGTCCTAAACCAAACTGGTTAAAGGTGGGTTCCTCTAGACAGAAACTAGTGAGCATCATTTCTGTGATAGTGGGATTAATTTCTTTGCTCTCAGTTGTGGGTATTTGTTGGGCCATAAAGCCACATCGGCCTTCTTTTACTTCTCTTAAAGATCAAACAAAGGCTGACGTAATAGATAACTATTACTTTCCCAAAGAAGGGTTCACATATCAGGATCTGTTAGAAGCTACTGGAAACTTTTCAGACAGTGCAATTGTGGGAAGGGGAGCATGTGGCACTGTCTATAAAGCTGTTATGTCTGATGGTCAGGTGATAGCCATTAAAAAGCTGAAGTCCTGTAGTGAAGGTGGTAGTGCTGACAGTAGCTTCCGGGCTGAGATATCTACCCTTGGAAAGATCAGGCATCGCAGCATTGTAAAGCTGTATGGTTTCTGCTATCACCAGGACTCTAATCTTCTCTTATATGAGTACATGCCGAATGGTAGTCTTGGAGAACAACTTCATGGGAGTGAACAGACATGTTTGCTGGATTGGGATGCTCGATATAACATTGCTCTTGGTGCAGCAGAGGGTTTATGTTACCTCCATCATGATTGTAGGCCTCAAATTGTTCACCGTGATATAAAATCAAACAACATTTTATTGGATGAAGTGCTTCAGGCTCATGTGGGTGATTTTGGCTTAGCAAAGCTGATTGATTTTCCATACTCAAAATCCATGTCAGCTGTTGCAGGTTCATATGGCTACATTGCCCCAGGTATAGATTCAGGGATTCGTCAATTCTTGGTTGTTTCCATTTATGCTTTTTGGACATTCCATAACTCACATTTCCCGATATTTGTATATATATTCCCCTTCGTTGCTTTATATGTATACTTATCATGCTGAGATTTTACAGATGAGGAATGTAATTCTTTGTTGATAATGGTTATGATCAGGATAATACTTATGTGTATCACTTTCTTTTACATTCCAGAGTATGCTTACACAATGAAGGTGACAGAGAAATGCGACATCTATAGCTTCGGGGTGGTTCTTCTGGAACTAATAACTGGGAGATCTCCTGTTCAACCTCTGGAGCAGGGAGGGGACTTGGTCACTTGGGTCAGAAAATCAATTCATGATATGGTGCCCACATCAGAATTATTCGACAAACGATTAGATACAAGTGCAAAAAGGACAGCTGACGAGATGTCTTTAGTTCTCAAGATTGCATTGTTCTGCACCAGTACTTCGCCAATTAATAGGCCGACAATGAGAGAGGTCATTGCAATGATGATTGATGCAAGGGAGTCTGTGAATGGTTCACCCCCATCTCCGACATCAGAAACTCCTCTAAGCAATGATGATTCTTCTAAAGGCAAGAAGAAATTTTCCTAACCTATTTTCATTTCTTTTCTTTATAACAAACTTTTAATATGAAAATCAAGTGATTAGCTGCACGGACGATCCTGGAAATAATTATTTGTGGGAGACTGATGCTTGAATATATTTTTGACAGATGATATAATCAACAGATCCTTTAATTGTTGTAGTTCCTTTTATTTTTATTTTTTTTCCTGACCTGAACAAGAGTATCATGCACAATGTTGCTGGCATGAAGTTCTTTATTTGTTAAACAAATTATACTTATGCCTTGCCACTTTATGTTTCAGAAATGGATCCTGTTGTTGCATCATGATGCAAAAGGACTTTAGCTGGGACTTCTATAGTTGACTATAAATTATTGGGTTGACAAGCATTTGCTTCACTAACACAGGTAAATTGCTTTCCTATCATAGTTGGTCCTGCTTCGGGGGGGGGGGGGGAGGGGAGAATGAAAAGAAAAATCGTTACTGTTACACTTCTTCTTCTTGTTTTTTAGTTGAATAATTTTGATCTTGAAGTCGGCACACCTGGATGCTTTATCACGCATTGTCAATTAAAGAGAGGCATTAAATAATTTTTTTCATGAA